TGGGATTGGGGTAGGGGACACAGATATCTTCAGTGTTTAGCAGCAGCACAGAATGCTGCGTCTTTCAAACAGGGTGGTAGCCACAACCGTGAAAAGCACAAAAAGGCAATTCACCAGGAAAAAGGACAAGGTCTATAAATAGGGTACTTGTAGCAATAAGGAGCAAACACCCCTGAAGTATTCATGTCCTTTGACCCAGCAACTCCCAGACAGGAATTTACCCCGAGGAAATGAAAAACAGTTGCTGCAACATTTATGTTCAGGGTGATACTGCTCATAATTCAGAAACAGGGATCTCAGAAGTGTCACTGACAGCACAGCCACATAAAACATCACACGGGCGCTGATCCTCATACAAATGAATGTTTAATGGAATGGCAAGGGGAAACACTCACTCCTCCACAAACAGAAGAAGGGAACAAATAGGTTAGACACAGGCATCGGGAATTACGAACCACACAAACAAAGAAAGCTAAGGGAAGCACCAAAACGTTGACGGTGGGCATCCCCAGGTGGGGAGGAGACAATGGACGAACTAAACTCCTTTTACATTTCCTAACCTGGAGTAAAGAAACATTTTCAGGATCAAAAACCTTATCTGTAATTTCCTCAGCTGTAAGACGAGAGTTGGCCAATCAAGAGGACAAGCCTCCTCCTTAGTATTTCAAGGCGGCCAGCGGGGAAGGTAATTTCTCTGCAAAGCCAATGTAATGTGTTATTCATGAAGCAAGTTCTGTGTGTGCCTGAATTTCTCTGGATTTCTCTACCCCTCAGCCAGCTAAGGAAACACTACTTTAAGATCCTAAGCCACACAACACAGAACTGAGCGAGATTAATATGCTGCTGCCACCAACAATGCTGAATATATATTGACTTCTATTCTTCTGTATTTTGTTTTGTTTTCGAGACAAGAGTTTCTCTGTGTAGCCCTGGCTGTCCTGGAACTCACTTTGTAGACCAGGCTGGCCTTGAATTCACAGAGATCCGCCTGCCTCTGCCTCCCAGTGCTGGGATTAAAGGTGTGTGCCACCACAGCCCAGCCTTTTTGCACTTTTTAAGACCAAGTTTCCTGTAGCCCAGGCTGTCCCTCAACTGTCTATGTAGCTAAGGATGTTCCAATGCTTGCCCCGGCCCTGTGCTCCATCTCCCAAATACTAAGATCACAGGTGTGGACCACCCTGCCTGACACTGATTTTACTTTCGACAATGTTTCATTCCAGCCAGCAAGATCTTGCTGCCAAAGCCTACCCACACCGTGGGAGGAGAGAACTGGCTCTCAGAAGCTGTCCTCTGACCCCCCCACAAACTCTGTGCCACACACGTGCGCACGCGAACACACACACACACACACACACACACACACACACACACACACACACACACTAACTTCAGAAAAAAATGTTTCATTCTTCAAACTTCACTTTCTCAAGACACTTCTCATTCACAGCAGCTGCCATATGCTTATCTAACATAACCACCGAAGAGCTGGCTGGGGCAGAGTTGGAGCAGCATCTACCGCTTGGCATCTACCGATTACAGAGGTTAAAGGTCACACAAGGCAGGACTGAAAATGTATCTCAGGCAGGGCAACTGCCTGGAATGGTCAAGGCCCTGCACTCAAGAAACCAGAGCTACAGTCAGCACAGCCACTGGGAATATTTGTTGCTCTTGCAGAGGAACCACGGCTGACTTCCAGGGCCCAAACGGCCACTCACAAAGTCCCTGCAACTCCCCTCTCAGGGATCCAATGCTCTCTTTTGGCCTCCACAGCACCAGGCATGCATGTGATGCACTGTCACACACGCAGGCAAAACACCCATACATGCAAATAATAATTTTAAAAGGTATCTTCCCAACAGCACCCCTTCCCCCACCTGCCGGGGTGACCCCTCTCCCTCCTGGCCACCTCAGACAAAGGAAGGAGCAACAGTTGTTCTTGGTTGGATGGCTTTGTCAGCCAGTCTCGCTGTGAGGTCTATGCTGTCCTCAAACTCTCTGTACAGCCCAGGCTGTCCTCAAGCTCTCCATCCCCCTGCTTCTGCCTCCCCAGGGCTGCAATCTCATCACTGAGCCCAGCTGGGAATGGCATGTGGGTCATTCCATCCCACTCTCTGGGCTACTTTCCAACAGGGAAGCTGGGCAGTGGTTCCTTGGGAAAATGCCCATTGAATACCCCCTTCACATCAATAAGCTACAGCACTACATCAGAAGGAAAAGGGCAGGATGTGCAGTTATACTTATGGCATGCCTACGACGGCCCAAAACAAAACCCATTCACCCAACGACATGGAGGAAACACTAAACGCGGTCGGTGATTGTCTCTGGTAGAGGGCTGACGTGCTGGCTGCCTTCAAGGTACTTGTTTTTCAAGCTCTTTATACAGACCAAGTATTCTTCTAACGTGAGAACCAAATTTCTGTTCCCCATAAGTCAGAAGGAAAGAACACACAAAACACTGCGCCCAGGTAACACGCCAGCCACGAATGCACACGTCTCACCAGCTCTTTCCAGGCTGGCAGGACAAGGGGACGGTGACCCTTTGTCGCTCCCAGCAAGTGCTTATGAATATTTTGCTTAGCTGGAGCTGGACAGTCACCCAATGCCATTCCCAACTCTCAAAGAACTAAGAGGTAACAGGCACACAGGGCCCTCTTCCCCACCTCCAAGTCCTTCTGGTTGCCCAGCTCTTCCTTTGGGTGACAGTTTCTGGAACTCCAAGCAGCAACCACCTCTCAGTCATATACAGTCTTGAGACCTTTCACCCAGCCCAGCCCTGGTCCCTCCCAGCCACTAACCACTGGCAGCAGGGAGCCCACTGGGCAGGAATCTGCTGCTGCACCTTTGCCTTCAGACCATCCTGAATCCTGACTCTGTCTCCCTCACACTCCTTCTGCTCCGCTGTGACTCACATCAACTTTGAGATGCAGGGTCACCTTCCCAGTAAATATGCTCCCAATAGTAAGGGACAGAACTCTTCAGAGCCTCCAAGACCGGCTCTACCCAGACTCTGTTTCCTCCTCACCACCTTCCTGGGACTCTACGAACTTGAAAACTCAGTCACTCAGAGAATTCCACTCGGGTGGCATCTCCTCCAAGTCTCCCTACCTCACGTCACAGAATGGGTAGGGGCCTTGTCTCTGGAATGCTTGGTACCACCTGTTTCCTCTGGCACTGCTTGTTACAAATGGCACCTGCAGACACTGACTGTCCTGTCAGCCAGTGCAGCCCCCAGGCCTCTCAACACAGATGCCAAGTTCACAGAGAGCATCATTGCCTCTAACCAGCTAGCATAAAGACGCACGAGCAGAAATGCCCCTGCTTACAGCACACTCAGCCACAAGTGGAGCTCCCATTAGCCCAGAGAACCCATCTTGACCCCTGCTGGGTTCTCAGGCATCTCCCTCAGCCGCTGGCCCCTTCCTTAGACACCTGCAACTGAAGGGATGGGACCAGTTGGGAGCCTCTGGAAGCTATGCTCAGATCTCAGAGTCAAAAATGATGCTCTGAATAGTCATGCGTGTGTGTACCTAGGGGCCAAAGTCAACCTCAAGTCAATCCACTTTGTTGAGACAGGGTCTGAGTCTGGGATCTCAGGCTCACCAATGAGGCTAGGCTGGGTGGCCAGTGAGTCCTAGGGATCCTCCCATCTCTGCTGCCCCAGTACTGGGATTACAAGTGCCCACCACCACGTTTGGATTTTTTTAAACATGGAGTATAGGGATCAAACTCAGGTCTGCATGCTTACTCATGAAATATTTTACTGAATGAGCCATCTCTCCACCCCATTCTTTTTGTTTTGCATGTGACAGGGATGTGGTATGCTTGCATGTGTGTGCGTGTTCACAGGTGTGGGGGTGCACATGTGCCACTGCCACATTTTTACAGTCTGTGTACACGGTACAGCTCACCTCCCCGATGGGAGGACAGACACAATCATGACAGAATACCCAAGACACTGCCCACTTCTTCCCTCTCTCAACCCATTTCAAATCCACAACGAAGAGAAGCCAAGGATCCTGCAACACCCACCATCCCAGGGCAAGCCCAAGCCACGGCACCTCTGCCATTTGTCTCTCAGCTGGCTCGGATCAGCAGTCGAGGCGGAGGGGAGCCTCGGCTAACACGGGGTCCTCAGGTAGACAGAGACCTCACCCCATCTGCAAAGACCCCTGATTCCCAGCACCAGGACTCAGTACAGACCAGGAAGCTGAAGGGGCAGAGTCTGGTCACAGGTCTGGTGAAACCCTGGCACAAACAATGGTTCTCGAACCACGACATTGAGAGTGACTGGTTTTGCCTGGAGAGTCACGAGATATCATACGTCAGAAGGCGGTTTCACTGCTAAGCAGAGACTCAACAGCCAGGGGTCCGAGGCCCCCAGCTCAGCTCATTTCCCACCAGTGCTGGCCATGCAGAAGAGCTCACGAACACGCTCAGAGTATCAGCCACCCTGACCCAGCCAGCACATCTGATCAAGCACAGCAAGCAGTGTAAAGTGGAACCGTCCCTCCATAAGCCCAGGTTCCTGCTGGCCTAGAGGCACAAGAGTTCCGTTTCTGGCCCCTAGGGCCCTCTGTGGTTCCTCTTCTCCCTCAGCTCAAGTGGCTCCTGCACAAGAGCCACTGAGCCAGAGGCATGAACCATGTGCCCCTTCCAGAGAGTCTCCAAGTGACATACCGGAACAGGCTGTAAACCTAGGCCCTCCAGGACCTCAGAACATTCAGAATGAACCAATCTGAAATGCAAGAACACCCCCCATCCTGCCCCGAACTGACACCCCACAGCAGGGCTAATGCAGAAGCACCAAGGGTCAACAGCCAGCAACCACTTACTCTGGCTTCTTTTGGGAATCCATTCGAGGGGCCCCACTGCAAACACATAGGAACTCACTGAAGGGGCCTCTGTACACCTACTTGAGAGGCCTTTCTGCACACATGTGGGAACTTGAGGGGCCCCACTGCAGACTTGTAGGAACCCCTGGGCCAGCAGAGCAGCCTCACCTGGTAGTAGGTCTTGATGTTTCTCACCAGGATACTCAGGTTCTGGATGCGCAGGTTCACGTCATTGTTGACATGCTTGTTGATACGCTGATTGTTTGGCCTGGGGTCTCTAGAGTAAGAAACAGTAAAAGTCACACCGGGCAGCAGTGGCACACACCTTTAATCCCAGCACTCGGGAGGCAAAGCCAGGTGGATCTCTGCGAGTTCGAGGCCAACCTGGTCTACAGAGCGAGATCCAGGACAGGCACCAAAACTACACAGAAAAACCGTGTCTGGAAAAACCAACCAACCAACCAACCAACCAACCAACCAACCAACCAACCAAAAAGTCACACCTCCAGGCATTCACTATACCCCCTTCCCCAGCAGAGAACCAATATTCTCTATCATGAGCCTAGTTATTCCTGTGGTAGCCATGAGGCTGTGACACCATAGTTCAAGTTAAATCCTAAGTCTGCTCACAGCTGTGCCAGAACCCTATATGACCCATCATCTCTGCTGCCTCACCCAAGCCCCTGCCAAACATAGCCCTTCTCAATACTGTTCCTGTTTCCACTGTTGGAAGCACCACAAGGGCCGTCCAAGTGTCAACACGGTAAAAACCAACAAACAGATAAATAAAAACCGATAACCTATTCAAAACTGTACTTTAGCATTAAAAAGCCAAGCAGAGAATACGTGAAATATCAAGAAAAACAGGGGCTGGAGAGAAGGCTCCGTGGTTAAGAGCACTGGCTGCTCTTCCGAAGGTCCTATGTTCCATCCCCAGCACCCACAGGGTGGCTCACAACTGTCTATAACTGAATTCCCATGGGATACTCTTTTCTAGCGTGCAAACACACATGAAGATAAAACACCCATATACATAAAATAGATCTTTTAAAAAAAGGAAAGAAAAACAGAAAACAAGGGTGGGGGGGGCTGGGCTGGCAATGTTTTGTGACCTTAAGAATCATGATCCACTCAGCACAGGTCTGTCTCCCTGTCATTTGGACTTAGGTTGGTCCTGCTCATGATTTGCACTCCAGGGATACAATGATGTCGTCACAACCTGACGTTCAGGTCTAGGATATGACTGGGGTACCATCACACCCCACAAGAAAAGCTGAAGTGTGGGAAACCCCCACGTGTTACTCATTTTCCAACCTCAGGCGAAACTCGGTCTGGCTGTGAAGGAACTGGACGTCAGCTCAAGTGATTTACAACTTGGCTCATCTACATGCAGGACAGTCCCCCAAATCCTCAGTGTGGGAAATGTCTGTCAAGAAGAGCGAAGTGGAAAGGGGAGCCTGCTTTTCATAGCAAAGACCTCCCTTCCATCCGCTGTCCCAAGGCACAACCAAGGACAAAGGGCAGGGAACTCAAAGGCCAGTCTTCCCAGTTTCATCTGTCAGCCAAGCCCTGTGATAAAGACGCAGAGCCTCCTCGGGGCTGGTGGGGAGCTACAGAAACAATTCTCAGGGCTATCTGGTTCATTCAGGCCACATTACCAGAAGATGGAGAAAGAGAAGGAAAACCTTGAATCATTTCAAATGTCATTGGAAGCACAAGGCTTTTTTGTAAGGCAAGCTGTTTAACGGTCAACCTTTGAGTAAATATTTGACATATCCTCTGTCTCCACCATGCCCTACGCATACGAACCTTTCCAGATGCACTCAACAGCCCCTGCCTCATATAGGCCTTTCAAAGCCACTTAAACAGCCATGTGGGTCCCCTAAGGGGAACCAGGCAAACTGTTTTCAGCTGTCAGGTGACAACATTCCTCAATATCCCCACACCGTGATGGAGTCTGGTGAAACCATTTACCCCGTTAGGCTTCTTCTAGGGCCCTTCATTACCAAGGAAATAAAGGCCTAGGGCCCCACTGTATTTCAACTGTAAAGGCATTTTAGTTCCTAATGTGACAAAGTAAGGGGCTATCTTAAGGACTGAGCAGCGGTTTCACAGGACCAAACACATGAACCTGTGAGGAGCTGCAGGCCTTCCTAATTTCTTGTTGGATGGGAATTAGGGAATGAATCTGAGGCTGCACACATGCTTGGCAAACACTCACCACCAATCCCTAACCTCCCCCCCCCTTTTTTTTTTCTTTTAACTTCTGAGACAGATTCTCATTATGCGGCTCAGGCTGGCCTTCAACCTACAATCCTCCTGCCTCAACCTTTGAAATAACTGGGACTGTGGGTGTTAGGATGTGCAACAGTTTCATTGTTTCAATCCTGAATTTCTTTTCTTTTATGTAGCCCAGGCTGCCTTAAACTTCTGATCCTCCTGCCTCTATTTCCTACCAAGATTCTAAGAGTGTACCACCACACCTACTATGTGCAATGCCAGGGACTGAACCCCGGGGCATGAGAATACTAGGCAACCCTTTACCAAATGGAGCTATATCTACAGCCTCTTGAGGGGCCACCTCAGGAGTACCAGGTACCCAAAGCGTCAGTATGTACCACTGAGAGCCACTCACTTGCAAAGGCTCTGCACACACCCGGGACCTGGGATGCACAGCCATGTCTGCTTTTGTTCTCCCCAGGCATGGAAAGAAGCAGCTAATTGATGGAACACTAGAAAAGAACCCTGACATTAGTTATATGAATAATTAGACTAATTATCACGATCATTAGCAGTCCCTCAGTTAACCAAGTCTCTCAGGGTAAAGAGCACTTATTAGGAAATAAACCAAAAGTTTCGGCATTGCTTAAGGAAGGCAAATCTGCTTTCTACCCACTCAGTGCCCCACACTGGCTGCTAGAAATGGGGGTCAGACGCCCAGGGGGTGACAAGAATCTGAATAAGCAATAGGCTGTGGTGAATTTGCCACCATCCTATCAAGGGCAAAAGAAGTCAACAGGCAGAGCCACTAGTCCACTGAGGCTCCTTCACAAGCACAGATGCACACCACCATGTGTAGACAGACAAACAGACACACACACTCACTCCCAGCCCTGCTTCGCTCATACCACACTAATGACATCCGGACATTAATATGCATCATCTTGCTTAACCTTCCCCACATCTACAAAATTCTACCCCCTTATCACAGATGAAGAAATCGAGGCTCAGGGCATGGAGCAATTTGCCCAGTGTAGCAGAACTAGTGAGTGGTGGAAGCTAGCTAGCACTGCCTGAAGCTAGCAAGACTTCGAAAGTTTCCTATCAGTCCTCACAGACACAGTTTGTGCTGCAGACCACTCAGGGGACTCTCCCACTCAGGAATCCTAGCCCTGGGCCTCCCCTGAAAGCTGAGCCTGTAGGGCTTTCCTGCTTCCAGGTGGGCCTGATGTCAGGGAGGCCAGGGCCAAGAGACTACTCTAGCCTTCTAGGGTTGCCATAGACAATGGCCAGGTGCAGTCACATGACCACAGCCAGCCTCCAGATGGCACTGAAGTATTAGGTAACAGCCTCTTATCTCAGCCCACCCCAAACCAGTCAGCCACACTGCTCTGCCATTTCCAAAGGCCACCGCCTCCCAACTGGGGAGAATTTATCAAAAATAGCACAGCAGTGGTCTCCAAGCACCCAGCACAGGAGGTAACACCTACCCACTGACCACTACCCGATCACTGACACTCCTCTACTGGGCAGAAGTGGGAGGCTAAGGCCCAGCTGAAGTCAGTCAAGCGTTAGGATGGACCTTAGACTCAGCCAGGAAAAGACCAAGGCTGAGAATCGTGTGGTTTTTAAGAGACTGAACACAGGGAAAGATTTGCAGAGGGGCTGGTGAGATGGCTCAGCAAGTCAAGGCACTTGCTGCTAGGTCTGAGTTCAATCGAGGAACCACATCGCTGAAGGAGAACCAACTCCACAAGCTGTCCTCTGACTCCATGTGTGAGTGTGCGCAAGCACACTGTATGTGACTGACCTCCAACACCCATTCCCAGTACCGAGCTAGGTACCAGCACATCATCTCATCTAATCCCCAGGACCCACTCCTTAGGGCAGAACTTTACTTCCCGGTTTTCAGATGAGGAAACTGAGGCACCAAGCAAGAATCCCAATGTCACACTGCTAGTAGGAAGATGACCGTGGGCTCAAGCCATGTCTGACTACGTAGGATGCCCAATACTCGTTCAGGGTTCTTTGTTTTTGTTTGTTTTTCTATTTAATTTTATTTTATGTGCCCATTTGTCTGTGTGAGGGTGTTGGATCCCTTGGACCTGGAGTTATAGACAGTTGTGGGTGCTGGGAATCGAACCCAGGTCCTCTGAAAGAGCAGCCAGTGCTCTTAACCATCCAGCCATCTCTCCAGCCCTGTTTGTTTTCTGAGATAGGGTTTCATATAGCCCAGGCTGGCCTTGAACTTTCTATGTAGCTGAGACTGGCCTCGATCTCCTGACCAAGTGTTAGGATTACAGCTGTGAGCCACCACATCTGGCAGAAGAACTCACCCAAGGTTCTTTTAGTTACTGCTGTATGATATTTTGTGTTCTGACAAATAAAGCTTGCCTGGAGATCAGAGTGCAGAGCTAGCTATTTAGTTAACCATAGAGACCAGGCAGTGGTGGCACACACCTTTAATCCCAGCACTTGTGAGGAAGAGGGAAAATCAGAAGTTCAAGGCCACCCTGTGCTACATGAGATTGTTCTCTCAAAAGAGAAACAGAGCCAGGTGGTGGCAAGTGCACCTTTAATCCCAGCACTAGGGAGGTGAAGACAGGGATATAAGGCGGGTAGAGACAGGATCGCCCCCCCTTTTGGTCTGCGGATTCGTAGAGGTAAGAACTCTCCAGTGGCTGCTGCTCTGCTTCTCTGATCTTTCAGCTTTCAACCTCGATATCTGACTCCAGGTTTTATTAAGACTAATTAGATTCATGCCTCGTTACCCACATTTTAAGGTGGCAGGTATGGAGCCCAGGACCCTAGACACTCCAGGTAAATACTAGAAAACTGCAGACGCCCCTATTTGTGTTTTCAGAGGTTACTTTTACAAGGAGTAAAATGTGCACATCTTAAGTCTCCAGCCTGGAGTTTGGGAAAATACATTCCAGGGAGCCATTCCACAGGCCCCTTGGCAGTCAAGCCCCACACACCAGAGGCAAACACATTCTGACGCCTGTTACCTGGCACCAAGTTATGATTCCCTAGAAGCAGAAAATTATGATTGGCAGCTCCTGTGCCCACCCACTCCTGCCTGTCCTTCCTGGTACAGGAAGTCACTCATTGTCTCTGTGGCTGTCCCAGGACTGCTACATACCTACCAGGTCCTTCTTCCAGAATGACCACACTAGCATATCACAGAGGGAAAGTAACACCGAAAACGGCCAGGGAGGGGAGCAGCCCACCCTTGGACAGAATTTAGCCAGGGCCAAATGCAAACAAGTGATGAATTGGCATTTCTCAGAAAGGTCCAACAGGCTTCCCGATTTACAAGCCAGTGGTAAAGGCTTCAGGAATTCCAAAGGTCAGAGAAGAAAGAGTACTGGCCCCTGGGCTTTTGTTCTCCCCTGTGCCTGGGTGTAGCTAAGGGAGAGCCTGGAGGACACTGCTGTGTTTCTTAATTAAACAGCCTCAAGCTTCACAGGGATAGACTGAAGTTCTGATGGTCCTTATACCAAGGATACCCAGCTATTCTTGGGGTCTGACAGAATGGGGAAGAGAGTGGCCAGAGCCCAAGCCAGCCTCGAGGCAACCCCAGAAAAACCCATTTTCATCAGAGTCCTTAGAAGCGCCGCCAAAGCCACCAGCAAATGTTTCTCTTTAGAATCTGGTTAAATGCTGAAGACTCGAGACTGGAAGAAATTTTTGAAAAAAGGATGACAGCGTTTCCACCACTGTGACATCAAATGTCCCACGAAACAAGTGGAGCCATCTAATTGGGAAGCCACCCCCAATCTGCCCCCAGCTACAAATAGAAGCTGTTTTTTAATTAGCTAATGGATTACTGAGTGTGGCACCTCCATCAGTCCTAGGTGAGGGGGTAAATGTAAAGGCAGGTCCACAGAGCACACTGAGGTATTTTTATTTTGCTCCAAGTGCCTGTGATTCATACTGACACTTCCAATACCATCCCTGAAGCTTCTAAGTTAAACACAGAATGCAGGGACAGGAGCCAACACCTACATGGTGGTAAGACGTCAGACACAGGCTGTGCAGAACTCGGCAACGGATGTGGTCAGAGGCAAATAGTATATATCTACAGAGACCCCATTTAAGGCCAAACGGTCCAGGCACAGTATGGCTGCCTGTGTGCCTTCTAAAGGAGACTTCTGAACTCAATTCACACAAATGACTGCCTCTGTCCCAGCAACTGGCAAGAGACGGGAAGAAGACTCAGAAACTCAGTTACCAAGCCACAGTGAAACTTTACAGCCACACTGAGATGCTCCACACCCTCCGGACATTTCCTGTAATCAGACCCTCATTACAGTTCTGTGTGCCCCCCCCCCCAAAAGAGGCTTTTAATGTCAATGCTCAGACCACCATCAAGTCCTTGAGTTTGCAGATGAATCAGTTCCAAATTTCCTTAATTGAATAAGCTGCCAGGGAGAGTCCAACGGCCCACCTGCAAGCACCCCTCCCTGGCCACTTGGCATTCACACTACAAACTCAGGCTTCCAAAAACATCCTCTCTGAAGAGACAACTTACATTTGCAACATGATTTGGTTCAAAAAGATGCCGTCCACTAAATCCATGTACAGAGTCAAGTTGTCCTGGTGGCCGCTTCCAAACGGGCCAAAAGTTTTCACCTGCGGGGAAGCAAAGGCACGTCAGTCTGACGCTGGGGGACAGGCGGGCCACGGAGGTCACCCACCACCGCGGCACCCTTGGCAGGCAGCAAGCCCACCCTTCCCGAGCGCCGTCCCCTTCCCGCGCCAGACAACAGACGCCGGACAGGAGGAAAACTTCTGGCTACTTTTCTCGTGTCCCAGAGCGCGAGGAAAGAAAACAAACAAACACACAAAAAAAGCAAATAAAAGGGACTTTTCAACAAATTTCTCACGTCTCAGATTCACTGGAAAGCAGCGCGCCCAGCCCGCGGGTCCGCGTTCCCACTCGGCGTCCCCAGCGCGGGGCTCTGGACTTCAGGAGCGCCCCCCCCCCCGCCCCGCGCTCCCCCCCCCCCCCCCGATACCCCGAGCGGGAACAGGTGCGCGCTCCCGAATGCGAAGCCCGCGGGACGGCCACCCGACTCGGAGCCTCCCGGTCCCCAGCGCCGCACGGGGTGGAGGAGGAAGGCCAGGACGCGCTCACCCAGGTCACCAGCGGGCTCTGCAGGAACAGCTCCACGAGCTGCGACACCGTCACGTCCATGCTGAGCCGCGGCCGCGCCGCACAAAGCGGCTCTGGCAGCCGGCGGCGGGCGCGGGAGACAAAGGCGGGGCGCGAGCCCACGGTGCGCGGCTGCGGCCCCGCCCGCCCGGGGAGAGCGCGAGGGTGGAGGCGAGGAGGGGAGGGAGGGGCGACGCGGTCCCTCCCTGGCCGCCCGGCGCCCTGCGCAGCCTAGCGGAGCGGAGCGGAGCGGAGCCCAACGGGGCGGGGGAGCGCGTGGGGAGTGGGGAGGGGAGCGGGGCGGGGCCACAGCACGTGGCGGCCCGAGTGCGCGGGCAGGTGCAGCCTGCGCGCGCAGACCTGGGCGCGGTGCTGGCCCGGGTGGGAGAGAGGGGCCCGGTATTATCCTCAGGCTGCAGGATCGCGCACCGGTGCATCTGCTCTGCCGTCTCCCGGGTTCCTCCCTTCCAGAAGTTCCTTCAGGATGCAGGCGGTGTGGCCGCTTCACCCGTGTGCGCCCCTGCTGTGGCTCTACCCTCGCTCCACCATTGCACCCAGGGGTGGAGGGCCTGTCCCGGCCGCAGGGCGCCGCAGCAGCTTTGAGGCAGGGCCCCCAAGCTCGATGGACGCCGTGCCCCCTGCTGGCAGGGCTGTGTGCTTGGAGGCTTCGCAGTCCCACTCCCCCGCCACTTCCTGGAAATAACTTCGCTCCGCGAGCTGGGCCGTTGTTCGATGAACACTGTATGACTGACTGACGTACTGAATCCTCCCTGAGTTGTGGGAGTGTTAACCCGAAGCCCCCGGTGAATACACACCAGGTACTCAATGGCTGCCCTTTGGCTAGCAATTTTGCAGCGTGGCTTTGTCACATATTAGGGCTGCGACATCTGCTGATGACATGCAGTATTACAGTTCCACCTGGCTGGAAAGCATGTTAATAGACTAGCCGCTAGCCGCTAGTAAACGGTAAGGATCCCAGAATTGTAGAAGTCAGGGTCACAACAACAACAACAACAACCAAAAAAGGGGGGGGGCAGGGAAGGGGATGTCAAGGATTAGGAGTACTTGCTGCTCTTCCAGAGGACCCAGGTTTGATTTCCAGCACCCACAAGGTGGTTCACGTAAGTCCAGTTCCAGGGGATCTGATGCCTTCTGGCCTCTGTGGGCACCAGGCACACATGGTGCACAGACATTCATGAAGACAGAACACTAAAACTCATAAAAAGTAAAATAAATAAATTTATCCCCCCCCCCGCAAAAAAAAGGTGGGGTGGGACTTATGGGACGAGCCTGTAATCTCAGTCAGTCCTGAGGAGATGGAGGCAAAAGGATCAGGAGTTCACGTTATCCTTGGCTACATAACGACTTCAGGGCTAGCCTGGGCTCAGTGACGTCCTGTCCCAAACAAAAAAACAATGGCAGTCCTGGTTTCTGTAATCACAGAACTTGGTGGGGCTGATCCAGGAGGGTCTTGAGTTCCAGGCTAGCCTGGGCTGCATAATGAGCTTGAGGACTTCAGGGGTGGGGGTCAGCACAGACTACCCTGTTTGGAAAATAAGGGCTATTTTTTGAGTGTTTTTTTTTTCTGTACCCACCCAATTTTTTAAAAAATGAGAAATCCTTCCAGCTCTTCATAAACAAGTATATTATTTCAAACCAAGAAATACATTGCACAAATGCTGTTACTATTTGTGAGATGTTTCATTCTAGTGTGGGAATAATTTCTCCCCTGGGGAGGTTGACAGTCCTTACACAGCCACCCTGGGGAATTTTCACTTTGGGTCAGTTACATACATACATAACAATGTCTTTTTGTTTTGTTTGTTTTGTTTTTCGAGACAGGGTTTCTCTGTGTAGCTTTGCGCCTTTCCTGGGACTCACTTGGCAGCCCAGGCTGGCCTCGAACTCACAGAGATCCGCCTGGCTCTGCCTCCCGAGTGCTGGGATTAAAGGCGTGCGCCACCACCGCCCGGCCATACATAACAATGTCAATGAAACAGTATGTATGATTAATGTACCACAAAACTCACTCCACTTTTTAGTTGTACATACAATGTAAGCTCGTACCATGGCTTACTTAACTTGTTATGTAGACCAAGCTGGCCTATCTGTCTGTCCCTGCTTCCCCAGTGATGGGATTAAAGGCATGGGCCACCATGCTCTGCAGGAACCAGGTTTTTTGATTTTCTTTTTGGAGGGGTATTAAATGGGGTTGCTCTGCCACTTGAACAATACTGTCATCCAATGTGTGTGAGGTATTTTGCACTTATTTTTAGTTTCATTCAACAATGTTTCATATTTCTGAATATGGATATAAATCTGGTATTTTTGTTAAATGTGTTAATCCTTCCCCATTTTTCTTTTCTCTTTTTTGTTATGTTTAAATCCTCAAGAGGTACAGCATCACACAGATTCTGTGTCCATTGGCCTTCCACAGGCAGATTATTCCAGTATTTGGCATAAACTAGGGCTGTAGAGATGGCTCACTGGTTAAGAGCACTGGTTGCTCTTGCAGAGGACCTGAGTTTGTTTCCTTGCACACACATGGTAGTTCACAATCATCTGTTACTCCAGTTTCAGGGGATCTGACACTCCTTCTGGCTTCCAAGGGCACCAGGAGGATACATGGTACACATATGCAAGTAAAATCCTCCTAACATGTAAGTAATTTGTTTTGTGTTTTTGAAACAGGATTTCCTGTGTAGTTCTGGCTGTCCTAGAACAACTTCTGTAGACTTGTAGCAAGAATCTTAGAGAGTCTTATTAATAAAATCAAACCTGAGCCAGGTATTGGGGTGAACGCTGGAAGATCAGAGACAGAACAAGCCACAGCTACCTCACCTCGCCAGTTCCTCAGCTGGTCCTGTTTCCTCAGACTGGAAGCCTCTTGAGTCCTCATCCAGAATGAACCTCAGCTGAACTGCTGCTCCAAAGCCTGAAAGCTTAACCAGCCAAATGCTTCTAGTTTCTGGTCCTCAGGCCTTATATATCTTTCTGCTTTCTGCCTCACTCCCTGGGATTAAAGGTTCACTTTCTGGGATTAAAGGCGTGAGTCACCATGCCTGGCTGTTTCCAATGTGGCCTTGAACTCACAGAGATCCAGAGCGATTTCTGCCTCAAATGCTAGGATTAAAGGCGTGTGCTACCACTGCCTATCCCCTATGTTTAATATTGTGGCTGTTCTCTTCTCTGACCCCAGATAAGTTTATTAGCGTGCACAATATTTTGGGGAACACAATACCACCACATAGACTAGGCTGGGCTTGAATTCAAAATTCCACCTGCTTCTGTCTCCTAGTGCTGGGATCAAAGGTGTGTGCCATCACATGCCAGCTTTAAAAAACAAATCTTAAAAAAAAATAAAATTCTGTGGACACAAACCACCTCTCCCCAGATCATTTTGGCTTTTGGGGGGCTGCTGCTGGGAGTTTCTGCATTGTTCTTTGCTTTGTCCACATTAACACATCTCCTGTCCAAATAGAATTATTTTATCTTGGACAAAACATTCAAATTTAAGATCTGTGAGCTCCAGAGATGTCCTAGTAGGCAGCCTTGCAAACGTGTTTTAGAAGTTCTGTTCCTGGCTGGAGAGATGGCTCTGAGGTTAAAAGCACTTGCTGCTCTTGCAGAGGACCAGAGTTTGGTTCTCAACACCCTGTCTGGTTGTTCACAGCTGCCTATAATCCAGCTCCAGATCTGATGTTTTCTTCTGGCCTCCATGGGCATCCACGAGCACATGTGCATATAGACTCAGACACACACACACACACACACGTTAAAAAAAAATATTGGATCTCTGTGAATTTTTTGTTGTTTGTTTTTCGAGACAGGGTTTCTCTGTGTATCTTTGAATCCTGTTCTGAAACTCACTCTGTAGCCCAGGCTGGCCTTGAACTCACAGAGATCTGCGTGCCTCTGCCTCCCGGGTTACTGGGATTAAAGGCATGTCCCACCACCACCCGGCTCCTAAATGTATTTTTTAAAAGTTATTTTTATGTGTATGGGAATTTTCCCAGCATGTATCTGTGTGTGCGTGTGTGTGTGTGTGTGTGTGTGTGTGTGTGTGTGTGTGTGTGTGTGTGTGTGTGTGTGTGTTGATACCTTGGAACTAGAGTTACAGATGTTGAACCTGGCCCTCTTAACTGCTGAGCCATCTCTCCAGACTCCTTAAGTAGATTTGAGTTTAGTTTTTTTTTTTTTTTAGATTTATGATGTATACAGTGTTCTGCTTTCATGTATGTTTTTACACCAGTAGAGGGCACCAGATCTCATTTAGATGGTTGTGAGGCACCATGTGATTGCTGGGAATTGAACTCAGGACCTCTGGAAGAGCAGCCAGTGCTCTTAACCTCTGAGCCATCTCTCCAGCCCAGTAATGTCTTTTTTTTTTTTTTTTTTAAATTGAGCTGCTCCTTTTAAGTCATGAGTGGTTTTTTTTTTTTTCCTTCCCTAAACTCCCAACCAAGTATGGCAGAGGCCGCATCTTTCAGTGCTGTCCTGCATCATTAGAACTACCTCAAGGTTGGCTAAGGACCAGGCAGTCAGTGGGTAGGTGGAAATGGGAGTGAATGCCACCGTTCTTATCTGAGACTCTTGAATAGATGAAGCCCTTTTCAATATGCCTTTGATTCTTGAATTCTGAAACTTTTTTGGGGGGGGTACTTTACCTCATTTAATGAGATTCACCAAGTTCTCTCCATCATTTCTAGGTATCTAATTTTAACCAATATACCATTCTTGCTGCATACTCTGAATGACTAAGAGCAGAAAATTTCAGTTATAGATAAAGTATTATAGTCATCTCCCTCCAGGTTTTGACTGTATCAATATATTTAAGGGTGGGGATGTAGCTCAGTGGCTAAGTCAATGTTTACCAAGTAGGAAGTCCCAGTTCAACCCACACTGTATACACACACACACACACACACACACACACACACACACACACACACACACACATACACACACACAGAGAGCTGGGTTTTGGTGTGGTGGTAGAGCATTTGCCTTGGATTTGACTCATCAACAACTCCCAAAGTAAGTACAAACACACACACACACACCATCTTTTGCAGTGCTGACGTATTCAATACTCCATTGGTAGCATGCCATTGGGACAGCTATTTCCCATACACCCTTTTCTATAGCCCTCAGTAGTT